ATATACCCTGAAGAGACCATAGCTGACATCCAAGCAGATATATGCACACCCATGTTTATTGCAGCTTTGTTCACAATAGCAAGGAGTTGGAACAAGAGATATTTGGTTATCCATAGAATTATCATGAGTTAGAACCTACTTGTTATCAATGAACAATTGTAAACACTAATATCTTGTCTATAATTTTATGCATATATGAAAACAAAAATATACTTGCAAATAATTTCTGCATTCTTTAGAAGTAGAAAATAATGTTTTAGGAAGAATTAGGGAAACAAAATTATTTAAAATATGTCTGTGGATAAATACTGTAATTGTAACTGGGCACATGCAACCAGAACATCCACATGGATAAGATTAATGATCCAAAGATATTTTTACAAGACTATAATTAAAATACTTTAAAAAAGAATACACACACACACACACACACACACACACACACACATTTGGAAGCAGGAGTGGCATCCACTTCCTAAATAACATGCCTCTGAAATCTAGAAACTCTATGAACTTTGATAGATGTTGATAGTTGTAGAGGGGCTTCAGGCCTTTTGTTCATAGGGTCGCTATGAGTTGTGCTCAACTCAAAGGCAATCAACAACAACATATATAAGATATATATATATTAAATGATAAGATATTATATATTAAAATTAAATGCATCTTTGAGACATCAAACAAAATTTAGATTCATAAAGCCCAATCTCTTCCCATGATAAAAGAGAAATTAAGACTCAAGATAAAAAACAAGATAAAGCAAGTTTCTTAATATACAATTTGACATGAAAAAGTGGAGAGATTTTTCAGTTTTGGAAATAAGAGCTGCCTTTTAAGTATTGTAGTCTCTAAGGTCTTTTCAGTAATTTTAAAGCCTCATTTAGATTTTTAAGACAAAAATTAAAAGATGAGAAATTCTCTGTGGTACCCACACATGATAAGACTTTTATGTGAGTTAATGGATACCACAGGGACAGTTTACTGCTTTCAGCATTATACTCTTTCCTGTCAAGCAAGCATTCTTGGGAATATGGTTTACTTTCTGTTAAACCATCAAAGTCCTTTAATAAAGTAGATAAATAAAATTAGTTAATGATAGCCAGAATTAGCTATTCTTGTGAAAGCTAAACCACACAGTCATAAGAAAAAGTATCAAGAGAAATACAGACACACAAACTCTTCCATATTTAATCCTATGTCCAGGGCTCTTTTACCTATAACAACCTGGTAATAAATTACCTGGATGATGCAAATGACTAACACACTCAGCAGATTATAAAAAATACTAAAGGTTTAAGTCCACCCAGAACTGCTTCAGAAGAAGACCGTGATCTACGCCTTAAAAGCAGCCACTGAAAATTCTATTCTATAGACCTGATCATCTTTATGGGTTTTGGGTTTACCTCTAGGTCTCTGCTCTACTTTGAGTTGGTTTTTGTGTGCAAAGAGATATTGCATTAATGAAGAAATTGAAATATGAAAAAGGAGCAAAATTAATATGGGTACTGTTGTGTCTGACCACAATTAACTCCACAAAGAGGAACTATCTCTGCCAATAACATCCACGGTACCAAACAAATAGCTACAAAATCCAGCATGCCTGCTTTCCAACAGCCCTGCACCAAATTCTACTTACTGGGTCCAAAGTAACATCTTTAACTTGGCTGCATCACCAGGGATCCATCTGGCTACACCTGACAACCATTTCTCTTTTATGTTGGCATCGCAGCTGGTGATGATGTAGACAACACTGATCAAAGATGAACCATGTGTCTGCAGTTGAGACACCTGGAGACCATGACCCCAGAGGACACTAAGAAAACAGCAAGAAAAGCTTTTTCAAAAGTCCTACCAACACAACATACAGGTTAGCAGTGGTTTTTAAAATTAATCCTTTATTTGTGGACACCAAATCCAAGTCTTATTCTGTCATGTTATAGGATATTTCATGTAGGGAAAATTAATAGAATTGTTCTTGTTAACAAAGTGTTTCAGAAAAGCATATCAATTTTTCTTTTCAATTACCTTTGTTTTGCCAAGATTTGTTTAATTCTAAAAAAATACAAAAACTTTTAGATTCTATAAAACACATACATACATTAAAAGGTGAGGCTAAAAAAAGAAAACAAAAGAAGTTAACAGGACAGATCAATTAAATCACTTTCAAGGGGGAAAAAAGATGTAGTTTATCTCTAACACAGGTCTTCTTGACAAGCCCTATGTTAATATAATTGTATATAAATGTGTAGGATTTTCTCAGGAAAATAGTATAAGGCTTTTCTACACAGTAATCCACCATCTAAAATATTTTACTAGCTGTGAACAACAGATTGTTAACAATAAGAAGTAGTTAATTGACTAAAGCTAAGAAAATAGTTTATAAAATGTATGGAATTTGAACAGAGTCTTGAAAGGTAGGTTGAATTTCAATGAAAAGAGAAAAGAAGAAGAAATAATGTTTTATACAAACTAAGAGTAAAGAAGGAACAAAAATGCAGAGTTAAAATACATGTTAGGAATACACAGATGTTGCAATCTAACTCTATTATCAAGTATATTAAGGGTTCAAGGAGGTAAGAATGCTGAACCAGGGGATACTGATCAGAAACAAAACTGTTTTCTCGCTTTAGGGCCAGTTTAAAATTAGTACTTTAAATTGTCATTTAATGAAACTCTATGCTATTTAATTAGACCTGCAATAATAGCATTAGTATGTAACAGGGAAAAACAACTAAAAAAATTAGAGAAAGTAATCCTTTTAAAAAAAATATTGTGATTTTACTTATTATTTAAACACCATTTTTCACCTTCTAAATCATTCTACACTCTGCAGTACTGGAGTGTTTTTGTTTTGTTTTCCCACACACTGCAAACTGTATTCCCAGACTCTTATTATCAACTGGGTAAATGTGACGTTACCCAGGCCACACTAGAAGGATATTAGAACGAAGCAGTGTGGTTCAGGAGTGAAATCTCACCTCCTGTGCAGGAAAACAGGGTAGATTTCTGTCCAATGTACCTCAGAAGCAGCCACCACCCTCTGACAGTAGAGGCATGGATGTTGCTTTGATGCTGAATAGATTTTATTGGAGTCTCCAGGCTAACGTATAAGGATGAGGGCTGGAAGATCTATTTCTGAAATCCAATCAATGAAAACCCTATGGATCATGATGGTCCAACGCAAACCTAATCACAGGGAGAATACAGGCTCAAATAGTTATTTCTTGGTTAAGTTGGAGCTGATTGAAAGACAACTAAAAAAAGGGGGGATTTTAAAAGGTGGAAGAAAAAAATCTCCATTCTGACCTCATTTCTGTCCTGTTGGTAACTCTTCTGATAGCTAAGCGTTTTTTGGTATAGTCTCTTCAGATTCTAAAGGAGTTCCCCAGTCACAAGGGATAGTCAGTCACATCCCTAGTTTTCAGTTTTTCCTTTTTATTACTAGCTTTTCTTATAGTAATTATTCTCTTTTGCTCTTTCAGCTCTTCAACATCTGCACCATAACCTGAATCCAATAGACTATTTTAACAGAAATATAGATTCTATGCATTAAACACTACTTACTGAAGACCAGATGAGTTCTGTGATGACCTCGAGGGTATCATTCATGAAGAAAGCAAAAAAGATCAGTAAAAAGACAAGAAAAAATAAAGGCCAAAATGGATATCACAAAAAACTCTGAAACATTCTCTTGAATATAGAGACACTAAAGTATGTTGTTGTTGTTGTTGTTATGTGCCGTCGAGTTGTTTGCGACTCATAGCGACCCTATGTACAACAGCCCTAAACTCTGCTCTGTCCTGTGCCAATCACACTGTCTCTGACACTCCCATCCCAATTACCCCAGTCACTGAATCAATCCACCTCATAGAGGGCCTTCCCCTCCTGCGCTGTCCCTCTACACTCCCAAGCATGATGTCCCTCTCCAAGGACCGGTCTCTCCTTACAACATGTCCAAAGTATGTTAGAAGGAGCCTCAGAATCCTTGCCTCCAAGGAACCACCCAGTTTAACCCTTTCCAGGATGAATCTGTTTGTTTTCCTAGCAGTCCATGGTACTCTCAATACTCTTCTCCAGCACCACAGCTCAAAGGCATCCTTCTATCCTCCTTATTACAAAATAAGAGTTATGAATAGAATATTTTAAAGCACAACTCTAGAAAACAAATCAAAATATTATAACAAAATGTGCAAAAATGTGCTGCACTGGGCAACTCTGATCTCAAAGAGAGAGCTCTTTAAAGTGTTCAATAATGGTCTTATACAGTATATGCCCTGGTCCTTATAGTTTACTAAGCATAATGCTCTCCAGTCCCTGCCAAGCTAGGTAGTAATTTACAAAATCATTACTTCTGCATGTCGCTTAGGATTCTACCATGTGAATGCTCCATAATTTCTCAATCCATTTGATTGTGGTTGGATATTTGGGCTGTTCCCATGTTCTTGTGATAGTAAATAATGCTGCTATGAACATTGGTGTAAAAGTCTCCATTTGTGTCTCATTCTCATTCTCTTGAAGTATATTCCAAGCAGTAGAGTACCTAGGTCATATGAAATTTCTATGTTCAGCTTTTTGAGGAAATGCCAAACTGTCTTTCAGAGTGGTTGTATCATTTTACAATCCCACCAACAATGTAAAAGAGTTCCTATCTCTCCACATCCTCTCCAATATTTATTACTCGCAGTCCTGTTAAACTTTGGCCCTGCTACTGGAGTGAGATATGCTGTAGAAATACAGTCTGCAACTGTCAGGATGGCAAAAAATAGGTCAAGGTTTGGATATATAGTTTATAGAATCATTTTAAGTTATAGTAGACTTGGTACCTAATTATGATACCAATAATGTGATTTCTTGGATGAATTTGATAGAAACAGTTTAAGATGTGTTCCATATTCCCAGGAAGATTCTTACAGAAGTTTCAGAAGAAAGTCAGTGAATCTGTCTTCTGTAATGAGTACTGAATGGATTATGATGTGAAGATTTTTAAAAAGTCAATGATTATGTGCAGTGCTGTTCTTTGGAGACACAAAATAGTACAAACAAAACACGTGTTAAACCCAGTGAATTAAAAATTTATTCTCTGACGTTACCTAACACAAAACTAAATCCCTTAGACTTCAATCACTCAGAAAGAAGGATTGAAAGGATAGCAATTTTAGAAGAGAGCTTTCTATGAGAAAACTAGGCCAAAAAGGAGGCGAGCATGAGGAATAATTTTATCCTCACTTAGAGAGTTTCGGCATTATTTTATGCTTTTCAGCTTCAAAAATTGCCTTGTTCATAAAAGTTTTATAGGTAATTTAGGTGTTTCCAAGCATTCAGGATATACAGTGAGTTTGGAATGCAAAAGTTTTCTCCATTAGCAACCAGTATCTGATTCTTCTCCAAAAATTACCCTAAAAATTATGGCAACTTTCCAGGCTGCTCACATTCTCATTTAGTGCACAGAATTAAATGAAAACTGAGCACTTTTATTTTAATATATCCGTGTTGATTGAGACAATTTCACATGTTTAATGTTCCTGTAAACATCATGCCACTTAAATGTCTTGGAATATAGTCTTTTGGGAGTCGCACTGCTAATTCAAAGACTGAGCCTCAGGAATCCACCTGCCATCCCGCAGGAAAAAAAAATGGGCCATATCCTCCTTTGCAATTTAAAGCTTCAGAAAACCACTGGAGGATCACTTCCAGGTCAGTTCTGACTTGATGGCAATGAGATTGAAGTGGAGTTGGAATGTCATCAAGTGCTGTTGAATTGACTCAATTCAGAGCAACCCTATACACAATAGATCTGAACTTTGTCCTGCTCTGTATGAGCCTCATTATCTGATATACTTGAGCCGACTGTTACAGTCACCATGTCAGTCCATCCTGTTGAGGATTTTCTTCTCCTTTGCTGACCCTTCACCCTGAATGTCCTTTTCCAAGGGTTACCCCTCCTAACCACATGCATGAAATACATGGGACAAAGTTTCACTCTCCTTGCGTCCAAGGAGAACCTTGGCTTCACTTTCTCTAAAACAGATCTGTTTGTTCTTTTGGAAATCTATGGGATATTCAGTACTCTTCTCCAAAAGCAAACCTCAAAGCAATGGTTCTTTTGTCATCCTTCATCAGTGCCCATCTTTCACATGCATAACAAGTAATTGAAAAGACCATAGCTTGGATCTGGCGCACCTTAGTTTTGAAACTGAAATCATTACTCCTTAATACTTTGGAAAGATCCTTGACAACAGATTTCCCCAATGCCACATGTATTTTTATTTCTTGACTGCTGAAATCAAGGGTGTTGATATCCAAATAAGATGAAATTATTGACAACTTCAATCTTTTTTGAAATCTACCATAATACTCCCTATTGACCAAGTGCTGAGGATTTTTGTCTTGATGTTGAGATGCAATCCATATTGAAGGTTGTGGTCTTTGTTCTTCTGCAGCAAGCATTTCAGTGTTCTTCACTTTCAGTAAGTTAAAATAGGCCACCCACTAAGGTGTACTTGTTATATAATCTCATGGCTATATTAATTATAAGTCAGAACAGACAATAGGGCTTCTGAGCCTGTAAATCACACAGTAGCACGGTTTTTGTTTTTTCTTCCTCAGAGAATTCTAATCACCAATTCATACTGTTGGATTCAAATTGCCAGAGAGACATGGCCTTCCATGTCCACTCTGTGGACTCTGCCACTAGAGTGTTGGACTACCAACTGAAAGGACAGCAGTTCAAAGTCACTAGCTTCTCTGGAGGGGAAAAACGAAGCTGTCTCCCCCCATTAAGATTTATAAATTCAAAGGAGTGTCACCACACTT